GTGAGCTAGGCTGACGCCACTGCACTCTAGCCCAGGCAACAGAAACCCCATCGAAGAAAGAAAGAAAAGAAAAGAGAGAGAGAGAGAGAGAGAGAAAGAGAGAGAGAGATGGAAAAAAAGAGACCTATCACTTTACCCCGAGTTTAGAACCCATCAAATTATCAAATTCCTATAATCACGAAATCAAAGTATTATTGATATGAAAGAAACTGAGTCAAGGAGAAGTTACAAAATTTGCCCAAAGCCATGTAGCTATTTAAAGGCAGAGGCTGAAGTACAGCTCTGTCAATCCTATAAAGAATGCATAGCCCATATTTTAACCAGAGCTTTCCATCTAAGGCAAGTCTCCTTGGCCTTGTGCAAGCTTTGGAAATATGCCTCTGACACCAGGAACAGAATCATTTAGGTGCTTTTCTTCACCTACGCAATCAATATTTACTGGAGAGAGATTTGCACCTACACTCGCTGTTACGCTCAGGAATTAAAGAATCACTGATTCTCTCACTGGCCTCTTCAGGCCTCTGAGAGGAGAGATTTGCTACTTGTTGTATGAAATCCTTCTTCTGCCTCCAGAGCATTCAGATTTCACCCAGTGGATAAATCAAAAGAGTTTCTGTGTTGCTTATATTAAGGTAACCTATTGTCAAAGAAAGATTTAGAGTTTGAGGAGTTGAAATTTTGCGAACAGATTAAGTGCAGTTTGAAATCAGGGATTTTAGACATAGCATTGCATGAAAAACTTTCACTTTGTCGTGTAAGAAAAAAATTCTCAATAAAACCAAGAGACTCACAGCTACAAATCAGTAAGTCAGTCAGAAAGCATCTGTTCCTACCCGCTGGCACACAGCCCGATGCTATGGCCACATGACCCAAGTGAGACCTCAAGGAGTTTAGTTCAGCTGCAGTAGGACCATAACTCAGGTGTGCAGAGAGGGCAGCCAGGAGGGAGGCTGGCCCCACGTCAGAGACAGAGAAGCGAAGAGGAGCCCAGCTTAGATGACATTATGCTCTTCTCTAAAGCCTTCAGTGGGTCCCTACTTCCTGCTGTGTGACATTTGGGATCTTCATTGGGGCTTCCAGGACTCTTAGAATGAGGTTCCAACCTATTTGTCCTTCTACCCTACTGGTTCCTTGCACGTATACAATGTTCTAGATTAACCAGACTATTCTCTACTCCCCAAACAGGCCAATCATGTAAGCACCTCTGCACCTTTGTACCATATGTCTCTCCCCATGAGATGCACCAACCCCCATCCCGCCCTAAGTGCCACCTCTTCTCTAGAGCCTTTCCTGGTTTTTCCTCCAACCTTCTAGACCCCCTCTAATTGGATGTGGCCTCAACTGCCATGGAACTTTTGCACTTTTGTACCTCACCCATGGTGATTATTTTCTAACTGGTGTGGCAGGAATTTGGGAATCTTTTTTCTTCCTCTCAACCAACATTAACTGAGCATCTACTGTGTGTCAGATGTTGTGCTGGGTGCCTGGAACACAAAAATGAATAAAGTCAAGGTTCTTGCCCTCAGTGGGCTTACATTCTAGTAAATGAGACAGCTCTACGTTAGAGTCTCACATCACACCTAGGGCAACGGAAGCCCGGGTAAGGGAAGAACTTACTTCCCAGGGAGATATGAAGGAGATGACGGTATTTAAGTTGGGTCTTGAAGGGAAAGCTGATCACTGGGCAAAAAATGGAGAGTAGGAGAGGGTTCTTCTAGGCAAAAAGAATATTGTAGTCAACAGTGCTTGGCTCAGGTTGGAGGACAGACACTCAATATTTATTGAATGAATAAAGCAAAGGCCTCCAAAATTAGGGCATTGTCTTAGCCCCCTCCTACTACTACCCACAATTACTGAGTGCCTACACAATTTCCATCCCTCACACCAACCCTGTAAGTTAAGCATCATCATCCTCATTTTATAGATGAGGAAACTGAGGACCCCCAAGCTATCAAGTGGCAGAGCCCAGTCTGAGTTGTTTATAATCCAGGGATGTGCTAATGAATTCACCTCCAAGGAGCAACGTGTAGAGCAAGCTTGTGGCTCTCTTCCTCTAAGCCTGGGTGCACCACTCTGGGCACCCCTCAAAGCCCCCTCTGGTAAGGCGTACTGGGGCAAAAAAGAGAGAAGCTGCTGAAGCCATACCCCATGCAGATTCTGAACAGCAGGGTCCTAGATCTCCCTATAAACTTGATATCAGTCTTCTCAAGGTATTTGGTTTTAGTGGCCCCAAATGAGGGCCCTTTTTCTTAATTTACAAAAGACAACCTACAGAAAGCCACCTAAATGTCACTTCAGGCCAAGTCAGGCTACGAAAGCTCTCCTAGGGCTCAAAGAATTGAACTGGATCTCTGGCTTTCTAGAACAAAGCATTTCATTTTTAACAGAGTTCTTTTTCCCCCTTTCTTTGTCTGATCATTTTCTCAATTTCTCCCTTTCTAGTTCAGGAGTTTTCTGTAATACTTGCACATGCCTTTTTTTTTCCCCCTCCTAGCTGAGACTATTATATCTCACTATTGTGGCGTTCCTTTTCCATTGAAAGCAATCAAAAATGAAAATCCACATTTCAGAAGTGTCTATTAAATATGCACCTTTCTTGCGGATGAAAAAAAAAGACTGATTTTCAGCTCTGTATATCACCTAAAGATTAGGCATTGGGTGAGACTTCTGCTCCTCACAGGCCATTTGCATTCGGTAATTGAGAGTGATGGCGAAAAGCGTGGAGTCAGAAGCAACTTATTTTAAGGAATGCCTTAGTCTAAAGCATTACTGATCAAAGTGCAGTCCTTGGATCAGCAGCAACTGCTTCATCTGGGAGCTTATTAGAAATGCAGAATATCAGGCCCCACCCCAGACCAAGTGAATCAGAATCTGCCTTTTAACAAGATCCCAGGTGATTTGTATGCACATTAAAGTTTCAGAAGCACAGGTCAGTCTAGAGCTAAGGTGAATTTGCTTTTATTGCCATATAGGAGCCTTCATGTGAATTTTGGACCTAAGAAAGAAAATCTCTGTGTAGTAACTCCATAGGACGTCCCCCACCACTCCGCCTCACCCAAACTGTTTATTCATAGGTGAATTGCAAAATGAAAAATATTCTTCCAGAAATCACACTCTCAGCCTGGAGGAGTTCAAGGTGAAACAAAGCTGATGGCTAGTAGCTAAAAAGAAAGAGCTCTGAAACTGACAGGTAACAGTTACACCCACCCTCTTCTCCCTTACTCCCACTCTCTTCTCCAAGGTCCTGGATGTTTTTGCTTGGTGTGTTCCCCCCGTGGAAAGGAAGGAACAAATGCTGCGGGAACCTCACAGGTGACTGATGCGAGACCGAGGGGGCCACGCCGTGTGCTGAGCTCTGGATGCTCGAGGAGGATCCTCTGTAAACACCAGTGGGCAGACCCAAGAGCACAGCCTTCAAATCCCAGCTGTGCTCAGACCTCACTTGTCCAGTAACAGTCAAAACAAATGTAAATGAACCTTGATTAACTAATCCGTCCTCTACATGGGAGATATGGACCAAGAGGATGGAAAAGTCACGTGGAGCTGGTCGGAGGGAATGAAAGCAAGAACCGGGAGGCAAGAGAAGAGGAGGAGAGGGAATGACCCAGATCCGCTCAACGCTGTTCTGCCCACCTATTCCCACTTGCCCGTGAAGCAGAGCTAGTGTCCAGGGAGGGACAGAGGTGATGACTAGACCCCTGGCAGGCCACACAGGTGCTGGCTTGGCTTCACATTTGACCTTGTCCTCTATGAAGAGGAAACCTACCTCAGAGATATTTCTCTATAAAAAATTCGAGCACCCAAAAAGTTATCCCTTGTTAAAAATCAAAAACAAAATCCAAGTCCCCACCCCAGGGAAGGGTTTTCTCACTAATTCTGACAGATGTACATCACAGCAAACACCTTCACACTCTGGGCGTCTTCCAGATGTCCAAGTAGAACGCCTGAGTTATTGATTGCTCCGTGTTAACGCCCAGCTTGGTATTCCCCTCCTCCGCTTTTGCTAATCTTTCACTGTTTTTTTTTATCTTCACCTTTGAATTCTCTGAAACTGCAATATTTAAAAACACTAAAATGGTTTATTTATACCAATTAATACTTGTTTTTTAAGCAATTATAACTTATCTATATATTAACAGTATTTCAGCTCTTTTTAACGTCAGCAAGCTTGAAAGGAAATTTGCAATGAACAGGAATGATGGGCAGCAAGGAGCCGCGGAGGCAGAGAGACTTAGGCTCTGAAATTCAGACAGGAGCTCCATCTGTGTTCCTCTATCACAACCAAAAGGTAGCCCCCCTCCCCCAGAACCAAATATGCTATAGATTAGCCACCTGCAGAGACTGAGTCTATCAATTTTATTTCAGCTAACTTCCACTTCATAGAATAGCAACTGACTTGGTAAGTAAAGCAATCTTCCAGAAACACAACTGAAGGAAAAACCCCTTCCTGTCCCCAACATGCACACACATGCTTGTACACACCACCTCTCAAGGAAAGAGACAGTTAACTTTTAAATAAACCTGCCCTTCAGCCAGTCTGGCCACGTTCTCAGATCCTTCACATTCTCCAAGGTGGTTCTCGAAACTCCTGCCTAAATCCAGAAGCTGAAACCTGACCTCTGTCCGCCGAGGGGATAAACAAGGGTCAGAGGTCCACAGGTACACCACCTTTTTTCCTTCTCTCATTTTCTTGGCCAAAGTTAGAATAATGGGCCAGGCTTTATTGCCTTTCCATCAGAGAAGCCGGGCTGGGCGCCTGGTGGAAAGCTCCAGACAGAATGTGAGTGTGTGAATCTGTGCGGGCTCCACAGAGGAATGTTCTGGGAACTCCAGGGGTTTTGAAGCAGGAGGATCTTGGGCTGGGACACAGGGATCTTCGGGTTCTCAGGAACCCCTGAAGTCTGCGTGTATGGGGGAGGGGTGCAGGGCTGTCCTGCTCGCCGGGCTCTCCCTCCCGACCGAGCCATCCCGGGCCCTCCCGTCTCAGCGGAGCCACTCACCGCCTGTGAGCTGCGCAGGGCCGAAGCACAGCGCCAGTTGAAACCACAGGATCACGGCCAGGAGTCTCTGGGGGGACTGAGGCTGCTGCTGCTGCTGCTGCTCTAGAAACCCATCTCCATTGCTCGGGTTCATTCCATGATACATCTTTCATCCACAGAGGGCATCCGGCTTGCCAGAGTCTGCAACCGGGAGCGGAGCGCGACGATACCCCAGGCTGTCGGGGCTCGGGGGCCACACTCCCCCTCCTCCGCCCTGGGACCCGGCGCCTCGGCTTCCCAGGCTCCATCCCGGTCCTCCCCCGCGCGGCCTCCGCCCCCTTTCCCACGGCGAGACCGCCCGGCCCCCGCGCGGGGCGCACCAGGAGCAGCCGCCGCGGGTGTCGCGCGCGGAGGGTGGAGGAGGGGAGGCGGGCAGGGGTTAGCGACGCTGGCTCCGCGCCGGTCCCCGGGATTCAGCGGTGGTGCCCAAGGCAGGAAAGTCGAAAGCCTTCCAGCGCCTGGGGGCTGAGAAAACACTTTTCCCTGGGCCTATGTTTCGCTCTCAGCAATCTCACAACGTGGTACCGTCTCCCCCAGCTACTTCTCTGGCTTCCCCCGGGATCGGGATGGATCCTATTGCCCCAGTCCCCAAAGAGATTCCTCTGGGCTGTCAAAAGAATTCCTCCCTTGGGGAGCAGCAGCAGGGGCCAAGTCCCCTCCCCGGCCTGCGCGCGCCTCCCCGGGATGGAGAGCCCCTCCCGGGCTCCCGGTCCGCCTTACCTGTGGGGCTCATGCATGCAGCTCGCTTCCCTCCTCCGCCTCCGCCCCCCGCCAGCCTAACCCGCATCTGTGCGCGACCTCTGCCGCCGCTGCGCGAGCGAGCGAGACGGAAGCCTCGGCGGCGGCGCCCGGCTCCAGCTCCCCCCGCGCGCGCTCGCGCCCCGGCTCCCCCGGCGGGCGGCTGCGGGGGGAGGACCAGCCTGGCCGCGCGCCCCCGAGGAGGCGCCGCGCGCCCGCTACCTGAGCTGGCGAGCGCGCGGCGGCGCGGACAGAGGGAGGGGGCGGCGACGGGGCGAGGGGCACGCGGCCGGGAGCGCGCGCGGGGGGACGCGCCTCCGCCAACCGAGCGGGCGCCGCGGCGGGGCAGGGGGACCGGCGAGGGCGGGGAGGGGGAAGGGGCCGCCGCCGCCGCGACCAATGGGAAGCCCGCGCGCCTGCACCTGTCGGGACGCGAGGCGCCCGGCGGCCGCTCTCGAACGCAGGCACAGCCCCGCGGCCCCCGCCCCGCCGCGCGCGAGCGCCTGTGCCCGCCGCAGTCTCCGCGTGGCCTTCGGGGCTCCCAGCGCTCCGGGCGGCGCGGGAGACTCAGCCTCCAAACCGACAGGCGGGAGTGCGCGGCGGCCGGTCCCCGCCCCAGGACCCTCGCCACCAACAGGGTCAACTCGAACAGGGGGCTGCCAATTGCCAAAGTCTCTTAATTTCCCGCGCTACGCCCCTCCGCCAACCCCCGCCAACGGTCTGCGGGTCCCCTTGGAGCCCGAAGGACAACCTGAGGCGGTTGAGAGACGCTGTCCCCGTCCCCTGCCCCCTCGGTGTTTTCCCTTTTGCCGGCCGCAGGCGTTGAGCGCGGAGTCTCGGCCGTCTTGGAGAGGAGACAGCCCCTCCGAGCCTCGGCCGGGCAGACGCTCCCCTGGGCGACGAGGCGGGGGTCGGGGAGGGAGGGGGTCTGTGCCACGCAGCAGGTTGGGTACCTGGGGGAGGGGAGGCAACTGGGGCCGCGGATCGGAACCCAAGGGGTCGGGATGTTTGCCCTCCCAGCCCCGGTGGAGAGAGTTCGCCGGATCCGTGCGGTCCCTGCGTGGTTTCTGCCTTCCGGGCTCAGCGCGCAGCGGGCGCGGCTCTCACTCCCACCGGCGCGGGCTGCCCGCGGCCACTCCCCAAGGTAGGCCTCCCTCGGCCCGCTGCAGTCGAGGACCCACGTTCCCACCACGGTGATTAAGGGGTGTGAGCTTATGAGGTGGTGCCCGCAGGCAGCACTTTAAAGCCAGTGACACTCCATGATTCTGTAGTAATTTGTGGACGTGAAGACCATGTTCCTAACACAGCCACCAAGTCATCCCTTGTTTCTATCGTATTTCCACCCAAATCTCACACACTGATGGTAGTTAGGAAATTACAGCTTTTGCAGTGGACGCTTACTAGGAGTAATTCTAGCAAATTCTTTCAGGATAGATTAGCTTTTTTAGTAGATAAATCAAGCCCAGTATTTTTTTTTCAATTTTTAAAATTGAGACTGCAGCCTTGCACAGAGTAAGTTCAAGATTTTGACTACCACACGTTACTTCCCGCTAAAGCTTGTACTTTGGGCTCCAAAATCTTAGTTGGACATCTTCCATGTTTCTAAGGTCCCATGAATGTCCTGCAGTTCTGATATTTATTCCATTTTTTTCTCAGTAAATTTTCTAAATCTTTTCTAATCGCTATCAAATCAACAAAGACCAAAAATACATGTTTTTACCATCATAGGAGATACGTCTGAGTGCTGTTGAAATCTGTTCTTCAGCTGGAGTACAACCCATTTATACATGAATGGCAGGACTCAAAGGAACATCCAAGTTTATCTGGGCCAAACATGGGATCTGTGCTTGAGTCCCCCTCTCTGACATTTCTCATAAGTGGTCATCCACTTTTATCAAATACTTCTTGAGGAAGCCTGCCGTATTTGCCAACAGCTCTCTTAGAATAGCCTTCCTTAGATTCAGCTGAAATCTACCTCCCTAAAACTTTCACCCACCGATGCTGGCTCTCCACTCGGGGCCCTCACAGCCAAGTCGAATTCCTCTCTCTTAAGAGAGCATTTCACCCATTTATAGAAGACTTCCCGTTCCCTTGAGTCTTCCCTTTTCTGGGTCAGACACAGCCACTTCCTTCAGTGGGACGTTTCTCAGACTCCTCACCAGCCTGTGGTCTTTCTCTGAACGTGACCCAGTTTCTCAATGACCACCCACCCCCAACAATCAAAATGTATTTCCAGAAAGGGGCTCTGTCTTCGTTCTGTGGGTCCTGACCAGTGCAGGGCAGTACTGGCACTTCTGCATTTTAAATAATGTGCTTCTGTTAATGCAAGTGAGGAAGACAAGCATTTTGGGGGCAGCTACAGCATTCCATGTTGTAAGTTTTCTACACTATCCCATGTATTATTTTTGTAAGGCTGCCGTAACAAAATACCACAGACTGGGTGGCTTAAACAACGGAGATCTATTTTCTCACAGTTCTGGAGGCTGGAGGTCCAAGACGGAGGTGTCGGCAGGGCACGCTCCTACTGAGGCCTCTGTCCTTTGCTTGCAGAGGGCCATCTTCTCCCTGTGTGATCACATGGTCTTTCCTCTGTGTGTCTGTGTTCTAATCTCCTCTTTTTATTAAAAATACCAGTCATATTGGAATAGGGAACCCCCTAAAACCCTATTTTAAATTAATTCCCCCCTTAAAGGCCCTGTGTCCAAATATAGTCACATTCTGAGGTACTCGACATATGAATTGGGGGTGGGGGACGCAGTTCAGCCAGAACATCTCACAACAGAAAGAGAGCTGGGCTCATACTCCTGGGGAGGCTGGTGAGGACAAAGGAGGTCTGTGCCTTTACTCAGGACCACCCAGCCAATAAGGACCTCAGACTTGAATTCAGCTTCACCCTAATAGTTTTTCCACCATTCCACAGCTATTTCTATGAACACCGTCCACCTTAAGAAGTCTACAGAATAAGTCATCTCGAATATATTTTGATATACGTTTTTCTCAAGAGGAGGGAGGGGATGAGGTAGAAGGAATGCAGAAGGGAGTGCGGCTGACTTCCTGCCAAGCAGGGGGAGGGGCCTTACTTAACTCTCCTCCTCTCTCAATCCCAAAATCCACACCAGTGGGGAGAGGTGCTAAAGCAAAGCCTCAGAGTCCTCCTCCCAAACACAGGAGAGCAGCAGGGGCTTTTCTGGGGAGATTAGAGATCCCAGCCCTCCTCTCGCTGTGCCTTCTCTCTCCCCTCCCTGCGTGAAGTTCCCACTCTTTTCACTCCCCAAACCCCATCATCTCCCTGCCATCCCCTTGCCCTAGGATTATTTTTCAAAACTTACTGAAGCTCTTTCTTCATGGCATAGACTATGATTTCCCGTTTCATGGCCAGTAATAGTCTGTTCTATATGTATCCACTAAGTGCCTACTATGAACTGGACACTAGTCTAAGTGCTGGGGATGCAACAGTGAACAAAGACAAAACCCTGCCCTCCAAGACCTACACTCTAGTTAAGGAAGACACACGATAAATAAAAGAAGGAAAACATTTTACATGTTAGGTGGTGCTATGTTCTAGGCAGAATAATAAACTAGGGAAGGGGTAGAGGAGCTATGTAAGTTAGAGTATAGGCTGAGCTGTTGCAACAAAGTGTTCCATTTAAGTGTCACTTAAAGAGAAGTTCATTTCTTGCACATGTAAATTTCTTACCATTCCACGTGGCAGGTTATCTCTGCTCCACAGAGTCATTCAGGACGCGGGTTCCTTCTGCCTCATTGCTCTGCCATCCCCTGAGGTGTGGTCTCTGTTTATGTAGTCGAAGCTAGATCACCGGCATGTTTGGGGGCCAGCCTGAAAGAAACTGATAAAAAAAAAAAAAAAAGGAAGTCTGAGGCAAACAATTTTCTTTCAGGCAAGTGAGGGGGAAGTTACACAAATTAGTTCTGTTACATGTCATTAGTGAGAACCTAGTCACATGGCCATACTTAGTTGCAAGGGAAGCTGGGAAATGTGTCTGTACTGGGCAGCCAGGAGACCGGATAAAGAGAATGGATTGGAGGGGCAGGGAAACCAGCAGTCCGTCACACCTTCTGTGCAGAGAGGGAGGTGTAGTTTTTACTAAAGTGGACAGAGAAGCCCTCACTGAGAAGGTGACATTTAAACCTGAAGGAGACAAAGGAGAAAGCCACACAGCTTTCTGAGGGAAAAGCATTTCCAGGCAGAGGGGGGAGCAAACGCAAACTGCCTGCGGCAGGACATGCCTGTCGTGTTCAGGAAACAGGAAATCAGTGAGGCTGAGCGGGTGAGCGACGGCCAGCGCCAGGAAGGTCGGAAAGGGCACCTGGCTGACATGGACCTTAGAGGCCGTGGCAGTGGCCTGGCTTTTATTCAGAGTGAGAAGCGAGGCTTGTGAGCAGAGAAGGGAAATAATGGGACCTGAACAGGAGGTGACCAAAGGGATCCGTGGCCGGCATCACCACACTCCAACACTCCCTGCGCCCTGTGGCCCTTTCTCCTTCCCTCCTGAGCACCTCTCAGCTCCTGTGTCCCTGAGGCCCCAGAGAGCCAGCTTTCCCAGCATGGCACGCTGCTTCACAGTACAGTCCTGGATCATCGCTGCCTAAGCATCGCCTCCCACTCCCCATGCCTTGTCAGCCTCCTTCCTTGATGCATGAAGCACACTTACGGCGAGCTGCTTGTGCCCACGTCTCAGAATAGATGCTGACTCTGGGAGGCCGAGGCAGGCGGATTGTTTGAGCTCAGGAGTTAGAAACCAGCCTGAGCAAGAGTGAGACCCCGTCTCTACTAAAAATAGAAAGAAATTAATCGGACAACTAAAAATATATAGAAAAAATTAGCCGGGCATGGTGGCGCATGCCTGTAGTCCCAGCTACTCGGGAGGCTGAGGCAGAAGAAGGATCACTTGAGCCCAGGAGTTTGAGGTTGCTGTGAGCTAGGCTGACACCACAGCACTCACTCTAGCCCGGGCCACACAGTGAGACTCTGTCTCAAAAAAAATAAATAAATAAATAAGAATAGATGCTGAGTTCTCAAGGGGCAAGAACAGTGTTTACCTACTTGGTCCTCCCATTGCTGAGCACAGAGCCTGAACACAGTAGAGCAATCAATAATTATTTT